TTGTTTAGAAAATGAAAATTTACTGAAAAGGATTGCTTTGCAAAATACTCTAAATTTGGCCCCTCTCCCCCATACTTGTATCATCTATATCATCAGAACGGCTCAACATTTGAGCTAAAATTTTGGATTTCTTCCTAACTTTGTTAGGTCTAACTACTGTAAAAAATATGAAACAAATCCGTGACATTCATTGAACAGTGTTATATAGAAAATGGTCGTAGCTTACGTGCAATGACTCCTAAGAAGTGACTAATGATGTCTCAGGCACTCTTACAAACGTTACTATTGGTACCTCCAATAGTTTTCAGAAAGTTACTAATAATACGTCGAGATAGTCCCTGGAATTTCGGTAATGATAGTCTGTGATCGTCTTCAAAAAGTTACCAATAGTACTTTCAAATAGCCCTCGACAAGTTATTAATGGTATTCATAAATAGCTTTCAAAAAATATAGGAAATATGATGTTAAAGATACAATATATTTCTTACATGAAGTGTCGTAAAGAAATATAAACATTTAATGTAATTTATAATTCTGATTTCTGGCATATTTGAGTTAAAGAAGAAACACTCACGCTCATGCGCTGTAGAGCTCTAATTCAGATGAAAAGTTTCCATAAATGATCGATAGAGCTAATTCCTTCTCAAGTAGTACTATGTTGACAGTTACTTTCAGCATAATGATAGCTCCGCTTCCCTGATCATATTAGGTAAAGCTTGGTAACCAACTTGAACTACTTTATTACAATGATCATTATCCTAACTCAAGAGGAAAATCAAAACTGGAAACTGCCCAAAACCTCACACTATCTAAAACTCAATACTTCCAAACCCAAAAGTTTTGAGTTGGTTTTGGTATTGGCACATGCCTATATACGTGTAATCTCCTACCTAAGAAAAAAAGGGAAAACAACTGTTTTTCTATTAAGTTTCTTGTTAAAATATAGTAAGACTCACTGGTGGATTCCATTCGCTCGAACGTGTTAACTATTCTTTCTGAACGAAGAATGAAAAGAAGAGATCAAATTTCTTCCTGATATATGCTGATGACTACTCATTTACAAACTTGCATTTTATTTATTCTGTACGTCAAAGAGACGTGTTGTGTACTGCTTAGTCAGATTAAATTACACAAAGTAAATTTATCAAAAAAGTAGAGAACTTTCTTTTCTTGGTAATTTATTTTTAGAAGAAAAACTTGTTTTTGTAGTCATTCTCTAAAAACTTGAACTTTTTCACAAGCATAATTACCAACGGTGTTTATTAATAGTTTACGATTTTACCATTTTATATGTGAACTTATAACCATTAATAATGACTTGGAGTCATCAAGGATATGCTGCTGTTGGTTTAAGTATACCTTTTGGTTTGGGTGTTGTAGTCTCTGCTGTTTTATTCTATCTTATACGCTGGCGTCCTAGGACATTTTATCGTATGATTGAAGCAATGTTTTCAATTAAACACTATGAAGCAACACTATCTGACGACAGAGAATTTATTGATATATACGGTGTTCAAATTGGCTTACCAGCAAGTACTCTTGGTTTTCTACCTCCTTTGGCCTTACTTATTATGGCAACAGCTGTCTTAACAGCTACGTTCGTTCTTTTCTTCTCCGAACTTATTTTAATTAGCTATTATGTTTCTCCGAATAGTAAATGTCCATCGGACGATGAAATGGACTGCTACACAACTATTAACGGTACATATTTTTTTTGTAATTCATCTGACACGAGAATTGATGCGTCACTAGGGAGTCTGGTTTGTTATCGATGGTTAAAACAAAATCTAGGAACTGTAGATATACTAAATCAAACTGGTCTATGTGGCGGATTGCTTCAAGCATTTGGATGGTTCGTTAATATATTTTTACGTTTCTTACTCCATGTATTACAACGTAAGAAGCCAGGTCTACCTGGAAGCGAGGTGACTGAAATGAATGTTGTTGCTTTTTCATTACGCAAGCGACATTTATGCAAGTTGGGTTTTAAGCTTCTCTTAGTTACTCTTATTACATTGAGCCCCTGCGTAGCTCTTATAATACTAGGTGCAATGAATATTAGTCGCACAGGAATAACGATGGTCATGTTATGCGTAATATTTCTTGTAGATGTATCGGGTCTTTTGCTATTTCTTACCTACGAGACCACAAACTTTAAGCATGGTAATATAATCTCCAATAAAGTCGACGCAACTTCTCCACCGGTATCTGAAATGATATTTCAATCAGTTAGTTTATAAGGTATTCAAAGGATTTAAACCAAAATACGACGACAGAAGGACCTAGAATTTCACCGATTCGATCAAAAATATCACAGATTATACTGACAATGAACTGAATTGCAAGAATTACAGCGAAAATTTTATCCAACAAATAAGAATTGAAA